GACTCGTGGCGCTGCACAAGGAGAGACGGTGCCCCTGTTTTCGCGTGGACTACAGGGGTGGCCGCGCACCGTTGGTATGCTGGCGGAATCCACCTTGAGGGCGAGCGCGACTGTACCGCCGAGGCTAGAGTGGTGAAGAGGACGGCAACAAGTCCAAGTGGCTGGAGGGTAGCCTGGAGATCAGGATTACGGACTTCTTATCGCCTGCATATGAGCGGTGGAAGATGAAGATATGGGGAAACCCGACTGAGGCCGTCTAAGCTGGCAGTCAGAAGGAGAAGGCTTGACGCCGGACGACTTGGAAGTTGGATACGGGATTTCTTGGGCTACTATCACACATAACGCTCGAGAGGCTCTCGCATAAATCCAAATGTTTTTGCAAATATATATAGTTCCTGGCTCCCTGTCCTGCGTTTCCCCGATGCCCTATCACTCTAGAGAGTTACTTACTGTGGCCTGCCCAGGCCTGATTGCTGTACCTGATCGAGCTCTAAATACATGCTGTCTGAAACAGGAACGACAAGGAGGGCCTCGGCCACGACTACACTCAGCTACGGTGGGATACTGGTAATGAAAGCTAATTGAGACGCGTATGGTTCAGGGTCTGGCTCGCCCTTACCAGCGAGGAATACAATGGTATACTGTTTAAAATCCCAGGCATTAATGCTGCTCCCTCCGCAATATAAATACGGCTATCAGCCTGCCTGGCCAACCTCATACTATGACCTACAAATAAATCGATGAGCCCTGACTCTTACCTTGCAATTCTGTCTGATCGTAGATTTTGATTATCTCATCGATTGAATCCTCCTGCTTATAGCTCCCCCCGTTCTCGAACTGTGGATTGTCGGCTAGCCGTTTTCTACCCTCTCGTAATTCCTCCAAGGCAACTCCTACTGTATTTACAAACTGGTCAACTAAGTCATCTACTCGCGCGTTATTGGCGTTTTGTTGCTGAAGGGCTGCCATAGCCTGATCCTTCTCTACTTCACGCCGCCTCTGGTCCATTATATGCTGACGCAGCTCCTTGTTCTCACACTGGAGCATATTGATTTGCTCCTCCGACCAAGTAAGTGGCCTTCTGGGCTTTCGGACAGGGTCGGGTCTTACATCGCCGGCTATAAACTTTCGCGCCTTCAAAGGTGCTGGTGCTGTACTGTTGACGACATGAGGTAATTGTGGGAGAGCTTTACCCCAGTTCATGACTCCCTCGTCCCAGAATATGGGGGGGGTGGAGCAGCGCTTTGTTTGCGAGGTTTGGGGCAGAGTTTGTGATATACAATCGGAGAGCTGGGAAAAAAATAGCTGTATACGACCGAACGCGTAAGGCCACTCCTTCATTTCAAGTTTGAATAAGAAGAGGGATTGGAGTGTGCTAAATGATAGAACGGATTTGATGTCATATACTTGTCATGAGGCCGTAATCCGGGATTCGGGCTATCTGGGGGGCAAAAATTGAACGGCCGAACCCACGTTTGCGGCTATATCCCAATATACCACCCAACCATCTTCCATAGCATGCTAATGATTGAACGAGGTAAAGCGGGTTTGGAATGTCAGCAAGCCTGGCTTTGGGTAGTGAAGTCCTGCATTCCGGCTTACGAGTTCTTATATTTATAGGGGAGTTGACTCGTAATACAACCTGGGTGAACTGCGAAACGTCATTTTACATGCAAGGAGTTAGGAGATACCTGAGAAGCTGAGCCAACCAACATACCCTGCCCACTATGACGATATCTCTATGGGTGTTGCTGTCGCTGTTCTGGGCTATACACGCCCTCCCTACGGACTTCCTCAACAGCCCTATTATTTGTATCTCCGACCCTCCAATGCAGCTGGTGGCAGGTTCCACCAATGTATCGGCTGTGTACGATAACCGCTCAAACCCCTATAACCCCCAATTCACAGTAGCTAAAACCTTTGCAGTCACGAAAATCCTTTTGGCCAAAACTGCCGAGCAGTCCTACGGTTCTCAGACGTAGCTTTCCCGCCAATTGCATTCGATTTCTACCCAGAAATACTTTGCCAGGGCCAAGAGGTCCTCAGCTTCCAGGTTCCACCAGGCGCACCGAACGGAGAAGCTTCTGTTTTGTGGTATGTAGTACGGTCCCGCGCGTCCCTTGATGCAAGCTGATCGCTGTCGCAGGGTATGTGATGAACAGTCACCGACCTGCAGTTCCGCCGTGATCTCTAATGGGCAGAGAGATCTTTCCTCCCGTCCACTGAAGCAACAGGGCTTGGTGGCTTGTGTAATTGGTCAGACCTCAAACCTAACTACTCGCACGATTTCCGGGCCAAGTTCGCAAACCGCTACGAGTGGCGCCTTTTTCTCGCCAGGCTCAAGCCATTCGTGGACGACGGTTTTGCTGAACAGGACACAAGCGACCTCAGCAACAGATACAATCACAACTACAGGTCCACCAGCAATCACTGGTTCATCGCCGACCGCTGGTCCGGTCTTTACAGAGCCAGCGCTAACCACAAGCATGGTTTTAACTACATCTCATACATTGTCAGTGAGCCTAACTACGCCCAACACCTCGACTGCGAATCCAACCTTGACCATCGTTCCAGCCTCGACTACAATTTCAGGTTTGACCAGTGAATCCGCACCGCCCATAGACACAGTACAGGTTAGCGGGGCCACTAGGTCGACATCACCTTCCGCTGCACAGACGGTTCTAACTGTCACACAAACAATCACATCTATGATTACTACTACGGTTACATCTCTAGCCAGACGAGTGTGATGTTGATAATAGGCAACTAGCTCTATAGGCAATAGTCGGGTAGCGTATTGTGTACGATTAGATCGCCTTCTCTTTTGTGCGTCAGTGCTCAAGTCGCTCTTTGTGTTTTGTTTCGTTGAGTTTTATCTGTTCCTCATCCCAAATAGTTTGACAAACAGAAGCAGGGAAATAAGGAACATCGTTTATTTAAGCTAGTGAGATTTTATATAAGATCCTCCTCCGTAATTTTCGCAGCTGACTGCTATATCGCATTCTTGTTTGTCCTAGGCCTTGCCATTGGATTTTTTGGTATGTTTATACTATCCACAGTCCCGCGACGAGAGCCCTATAAATGTTTCTTGTCCGCTCCGGGAGTTCCCTTCTGTGTTCCCCGATTCGTTAGTGTCGTTATCGGTGCCGCCCGATGTTGCCCGCTTAGGTTCGTTGGTATTGATGGGGACCATCGAGACCTGTTCGTTTGGGACTCCTCTCTTACGCTGCGTCATCTCCCGGCTGCGGACCACTGCCGATATCACGGCCTTTGGTGTCGCCGATACTATTTACCCCACCCCGCTCTTGATGGTATGGGAGCGATGGTCACCAAGGCCTGAAGCTGATGACTTGGTCACATCTATAACAGTTAACGCATGTAGTGCCGCTCAGCGAGACCTTCTGCCCGGGCCGTCACCAAGCGCCCGACGCCCGGGACCTTACCGACATGTTCTTGGCTAGCACTGCCTAAGCTTGTCAGCGGTTGCAGACACCGATTGTCTATGTGTTCCAACGCCGCACAGAGGGACGCATCACTAGACACTGTGAGTGGCCGTGATTGTGTCCGCAGACTGGGCTCCATGGCCGGTCGGGGGGCATGAGTCGCGTCATTTGCAGCAAGGAGATCTTGGCGGCTAGCAAGAGGCGGATTACTGAGACCAAGAGCACAGGATTGAAGGCATTAATCAGCTGGTGTAATTCATTGAAAGCAGCTACGGTCTCCAGTTCAAGCCCGCCTAAACGGGTCACATGCTTCACACCTAAGGACCAATTCCTGCCCGCAGAAGTAGCAATACGGCCGTTGTTCTTCTTGCCTGAGATTCATTCCTGTTATCGCTTGGACGAGGTCATCCTCTCCAGTGGCTTTCGGCATCTTAACCCTTTTGTTTTCTCTCACTGGTAGCTCAAATCTGACACACTTGTTGTCCGTCCGACTCGATGGCTGCTGGCTGCAGAGCGAGACTAGCCTGTCTGGCCTGCTGGCGATCTTTATATTTTGGGCATCAATGCACCTTTGAATATCAGGGTTCTTGTGAGGCGCCCGCGGGTACTGATGGCTTGTAAACAAGTCCTCTGATGCTGGCGTATAGGTACGTAGATACCTGAAAGTGTGACGATACCTGTCCTCCCTGAATGGACGCCGATATCCGGATGTTCTAGGGGGGTAGCGGTAACGAGGCTTCTCAGAAGTCCTGCCATAAATATCCCTGGCGGATCCTGTAAAATGTGATAGAGGACGGAGCCTGTGTTCGTGTGGATAGGGCGTTGGAGGGCGTGGGAAGTGGCTCCGGTCAGCGGAGGGCCATGTTGGCGACAGACTCTGGGGACGGTGGCGTGCCATTTTACTGATACCCGCCCTTCCTTAATATCACTGACTAGCGGGATGAGGCGTCTTTTCAAGGATTTTATTCTTTCTTTCTTCGGGAGCCATGTTAACGGCGCAACCGGTCAGGCCGGCGATCCGCATTCGTGGCGGGACGGTGTGCCGCCGAGAGCCTGGTTTGTGGCTGCTTTTGTGGGTTGCCTCGCCCTGGGCCTCGGTCCCGGCAAAAAGCAAGCTAGAGGCCTGGCTCATCGGAGGTACAGAGTGAGGGGTAAACTTCTCCTACCTCAGTGAAAGTACCAAGATTTCGGGGGGAACGCTGGGCAAATGCATCCTCCAGCCAGGGCAAGGACTGGTTTGGAGCCACATCGGCGCTACGAAGGCTTCAATGAATATATGTCGTAGGAGCTCCGCTACGCTCTGAACTTAGACGTAATATGAACGGGACCGATATTCAGTGACGGAGAAGAGTATAGATCGACAGGACTTGGAGTCAATTGTATTACCGCTATATAAATGAATGCAGCATGGCAGAAAACTAATTTGAATCAAGCCAAATTCGAGCAGTGACAAACGTAATATTACACGAGTTAAAGCAGCTCCCAGAATCCCAGCACAGTGCCCTACCGCCGGAACCAGCCGGCCACCAAAAACACACCCACTAGCAGCCCATTCAACTACATGGCCTTTCGACGTAGCTTTCTGCTCTTTTCAACGTTGCCGCTGGCGGGCTCTTCGTAGTCGTGCTCCTCTTCGTCGTAGGCAGCTTTTCGTTTCGATGGCACAGCGCTTCCCAGACCCGAGGACTCCCGATTCAACTGCGCTTGTCCCAGTCCTACAGGCTCGTTCTCGCGCAAAAATCTCTGCCAAGGCCGAGTAAACCGCCCTCGGCTCGGCTCAGAAGTTCCCTCTTCTCTGGGCGGGAGCTCGTCGTCATCATCGTCTTTATCTTCATTTAACGAGAGCTGGTCGCTGTTACCGCTCGGGATTGATATACAGTCCCACTGACTACAGTCCCACTGAGTACAGTCCCACTGGGTAAAAACATCGCTGGGGGTAAGGGCGAGGATCTCGGAATCCTCTACATCACCAGCCTGCGTACGCTGGCTGGATTCGGCAAAGTCCTCGTAGTCCGGCAAGTCGTCATTGACATCGTTACAAGCTGTTGTTGTATTTCCGCTGTTGGACGACCGCTTCTCGGTATCGCTGGCCGAATGGATATCGTAGTTGTAGCTCGCATTAACCCCTTCGACGCTTTCGAATGGTCCCAGCAATCCGACCCTAACTCTCTGGGGAATCAGATATAAGCAGATGTGGAAAGCATGTAGAAATTCGCGGCTTGGTGCCTGCCAGCCTGCCTCATCCGACCGGTTCTTTTCAGCAATCACAGCATCCCAGGTGTGCAGGATCGACGTGATTTGGTTTCTGATCCCATAGTAGTACTGAATCCCGAGATCCAGCCTTTTCTGGCACTCAGTCACGATATGGGATCCGTCACCCGTCGCTTGCTGACGTATGAAAGACCTCTCACTTGGGTTGAGAAGCCATCCGCCCTCAGACTGCCCATGCCGCTCTTCCGCAGAGTAAAGGTCTCGGTAATGGTTACCAAAAATAACGATATCTCGAGCATAATTTGCCATAGTGATGGTAGAGATGAGTGAAAGCTGTGGGACTGGCGGAATGAATGTACTATACGTTGTTTGCTTTGTTGTTATCCTGTGGTTATTCTGCCAGGTTCGCTGAATTTATAATTAATGCTGTAGCGTGGGTGGCTAGTTACTTTGCCGCTAGCCGGGCTCAAGGTTACAAGCGTCCCGAACCCGGGATACTGCCGAACACCAAGATTGCCGCAACTTGGGAGACAGCAGGGAGTCAGCAGTGTACTAACAGCAGGTACTATAAACAAACGGGACAAGGCTGTTGCCCACAAATTAGGTTTGCTGAGTAGAGCAAAGCTATCGGAATTCGAAGTATACAGCATTCAGAGCCTTCCAACGAGGATGCGACAACCGTTAAACATGGGAAGACTTATCAAAAATCACTGGGCCAGACTCGTCACATTAACCGCAGCAGCTTGTATGATAATGTTTTATAACTATAATTAAATTTAGACGCTGATTAGAGCCCACAGATCAAGTCACCGCTGCTGTAGAGGCCTTCTTTTGGCCCAAAATTCTGTGGGACTTCGCTACACAGTCATTAGATAAGGCAGTAAAGCCTGTTCCTGTATTGCAGCTTCTTAATCTCGCAATGGGACTCGCTGTACTCGCGTGGGAATGGCCATTGCATTTCGTTGCGGGATCCCGTTTACATAGGAGCATTGCGGCTCGTCTTGTCGCGATGCCACTGGTGGCCCTGACTGCTGCTCTGATTTATCAGGGGGGAGATGCCTCTATTTACTACACCATTGCGTTTTTAGTATATCTCTACGCTTATAGGGAAGGAGAAGTCTGTTCAGCCTCACTCTCCCCCTGATTAACGTTATACGAAGATACTAAGTTCCTATCGCAGATAATCCCTCCCGAGCCTTGGCAGATTGTTTCAAGGCTTGCCGCACGCGCTGAGGCACCAGCACAGCCACACGACGATAGCCCGTAGCGCGCTCTGGCAGACGACGGAGTACGGGTTGTCAGCACCAAGCCTCGCGGGCATAAAGCCCAAGAGGCAGCACGCAACCGACCCCTAGGTCTTTGGCAAGACCCACAACAAGTTCACGAAGGCATTGGGAGACACTTACCGATACAGCAACACCTGCCGGCCTCAGCATCTCCAATACCGTGCCTAAGACAGGGGCAACGATAGCAGGCTTTCTGGGAAGAGAAGCGTCTTTGCAAGCTCGATAAGAGATCTTGGTAAGGTTAGCTTGATCAAGCTGGAGATGGAATAGAGGGACCAACTTGGGGTGGTGGCCGGGAACGTGATCGACATTGTCCCTGGAAGCTCGGTCATCTCGCTCGGACAGCCGAAGCGATGGGGCTGGTTTCCACTACCCGAGGTGCGGCAAGTACAGGCCACTGCCGTCATCTCTAGCCATAGCCTGGATCATGGCGGTGTGGAAGGATGAAGCCGCATCTTCGGATGTATTATGTACATTGTCAGGATATTTCTTCAGGCACTTAATTACCCTTCGCAGTTTTTGTATCCTACTAACGTTATATTGCCCTTTCGTCGACTAGTTGTACGACATATTTACGCCCGCCCAATACCTATAAATGATGTTTGAGAGGATTTTAAATAAAGATCTTCGTAGTACTAGCTGCATTTAGGATAACTATTCATCGACGTCATTATTTCGAAATGCAGGTATAAACTTTCAATACAAGTCCATAGCGGACGAATAGTGTTAACAAACGGGGCGAAATTGCGTGATCCAGCACGCTGCTACACTTTATACGTGTGCTGTTCTCTGAGGTAGAGCCGGACCGAGGAGTAACAACAAGTTATATAGGCATAAAGATCGCAGATAGAAACTCCTCGCTCCCATCATCCTTCCACCTTCGTCGTACTGCCGCGCCAATCGCCCAGCCTCTCTATCGTACGCACCAACGTACAACCTCTCTATCCCTCTACATCTCCATCCCGCTACCTCTCCATCCCTCTGCCTTTCCATCGTACATATCATTTGCATCCCCTCAGTCGGAATCCAGCTTTATCGACCTGTGCCGGGGAGTTTCGCGACGAAATGCCGAACACCTGTTAAGCGTCGTTGAATATGTCCTCTGTGAGATTGACAAGACTGAGCGGCCGGAATGAAGGGGGGGACGGCATCTCTCGAAACAGTGGAGGCGGTGTTGGTTCCGTATAGCCAGGCTCAACGCTTTCGCTCGCCCGAATCATAACGCCAGTATCACGGAAGAAGTTTTCATCTGGCTCGACCTTGATCCACTTGCCGCCGTGCTCCCCGTAGAGACCGAATCGCGTGTTTGGAAGCTGGTTTATGGCCGCAATCATCCTAATGAGCGTTCTTTTGCGGCCTTCAAAACTTCGCGAGACCTTCTGCTGTGGGGACCGCCAGATCTTGCGCTCCTTAGACCGCTGGTACGTCATAGCGAACAAGGTGAGAAAATAGCGAATTGATTAGAGTAGAGGAGTGTGCTAAGGACAGTGAGGAAGATGCTGAAGAAGATGCTGAAGAAGATGCTGAAGAAGATGCTGAAGAAGATGCTGAAGAAGATG